GCTCCAGACCAACCCGTCGGGGTCACCTGGGACACTGGCTACAAATGCGCATCCTCAGACCCCACCAGGGTCCTGAGCGCGGGGCCCAGGAGTCTGAGTTTTAGCAAGCCCATATGCCGATCGTGTGAGAACCACCATTCCGTATGTGGGAGTCCAAAACGATCAGGGGCAACCTAATATTTGAAGTCCACGATGTATTTGGAGTTCACGACGGGATTTCGCGAGATCTCCGCTCCCCTGAAACTGTACACACAGTGTTCTGTCTGAGAACTTGAGTGCAAGTTCCCATGGAGAAAAATAGCAGCTTCATCAGAGGAGGAAAGCGACTGACCAAAGGTCGCACAGCCACAGAGAGGCCTGGAAGAAGGGTCCCCACGCTCACATGTCAGCAGATGCCCTCCCTCCAGCCAGCCCACAGTTGACCCCAGCTTATCTCCTTACCTGAGAGGTCTAAGGAGTTACTGTCCACGAAACCAGGCTCCCCTGCAAAACACAGACATGGGCAGGGGTCAGAAAGCCCAGCCGTCAGCTTGCCAGAGTTGTCCACTGCTGACTGTCCATGATGGACAGCCCGGGCTGCCCCTGATCTGGGGGACAAGGGATGGGATCTCGGCCAAGAGGCAGTCTCGCATACCTTTCTGACACACTGCACATTCTAATGTCAATCTCATTTGCTTTGTTATTTCTGAGACACTCGTGATGGCTGATGACTCAGTTCTCCCCCCGGCCCACAGGAAGTGGAAATGGGGCATTGTCAGGGTGACAGGAGGGCCTCTGGAGCGGGAGAGGAATGAAAAAGGACTACTGGGCCTTTGCAAGTAAAGGGCAAGGAAGAGCAACATGAGCCCTGAGCACAGGTGCTCACCCCCCACCTCAGCCCCCAGGCCGCTCTCCTCAAAGGGGTCCCAGAAATTCCAAAGACGTCATCCTCAGACATTTCTCTCTTTCCTTTTTGACTCACTATTCCCACCTCCGCCCACGCCAACTCTCCTACTAGCAACGAACCCCCATTTCCTCTCTACTTCTCCAAATCCTGTTTCCAAGCTCCGGCTGGCATGCCGCCTCCTCCAGGAAGCCTTCCTTGGCCTTTACGTTATTCTGCCCGCATGCTACATCACTAGGTCTCTTTCGTTCTCCTGCTTGCCGTACATTCCAACTCAGAGGCCACTTGGGGATGTCTGCGTCTGTGTCTGGGCTCACACACACACACACACACACACACACGCACGCACACGCGCACACGCACACACGCACATTCAGGCCCACGTATGCATGTGGGGGCTTCTTCTCTAACCCCTCCCTCCACGTGTTAGTCTCATCTTCCCATATAAGCCCATGGGCATCCTGAGGCCAAGAGCTGTGTCTTCCATCTTCCTGGATCCCTCTAGGATGGCCGAGGGGGAAGGAGGGAAGAACCTGGACCCTGATGAGCCTCTCACTCCACCCCACCCAGTCCCAGCAGTCAGAGCTGGGCTCCTGCTGGACAGACAGATGGACAAACGATAGGCAGTCTGTCCTCTCCAGGGTTCTTCTTACCATTGGTTTCTGTCTCCCAGGCTGAAACCGAGAAAGAGAGAGCACATTAGTGAGAAGGAGGCTGAAGTGGGGTCTGCTCTCACTGGGCCCTCCCGATTACTGACCCCCCTCCAACGCCCAAACTCTGCAGAGGCTCTGCTGGGGACCCGGAGCCATAAGGACTACCTACGAGCTGGGGACCGGCCAGACACCAGAGACTTCTATCTCTCCTCCAGAACGGGACACAGTTAGTAGAAATGAGTATGGGATTTTGGAGGAGAGAGAACAGGGCAGCTCCATCACCTGCAAAGTAGCAACTACTGCAGTGGACGCCACATCCAGCCCTGGGAACCAAGAGGGGCAACGGGCAACGCCATTCCCAACTTTCTAAGTCTCAGGAATCCATCTTTGTGAATAGAGATGCTAAAAAGTCCCACCTTAACGAACCATTAAGAAACAGGTCTAAATAACACATTCATTGTGCAATTGCCAGAGCGAAGGGTAGAGTCTGAAGGGAAGTTTACCCTAAGAAAATCTCATTTTACTGCGGATTCATTTTGCCTTTTCTTTTTTATTGTTGAAAAGAAGCAGTCTTGCCAGAGTACCTGACCCAAAGTAGATTTTGAATAAACTTTAAATAAACAATGAATGAAAAGAGCACCTGAATGGAGGTGGTGACTAACTCGGTTTCTATAGAAATGAGTTAGGGATTGGGCTGAATCGCAGGGCTGCCACGTCCTGCGATTCAGCCCTCATTTTGCCTTTTCTTTTTTATTGTTGAAAAGAAGCAGTCTTGCCAGAGTACCTGACCCAAAGTAGATTTTGAATAAACTTTAAATAAACAATGAATGAAAAGAGCACCTGAATGGAGGTGGTGACTAACTCGGTTTCTATAGAAATGAGTTAGGGATTGGGCTGAATCGCAGGGCTGCCATGTCCTGCGATTCAGCCCAATCCCTAACTCATTCCTATAGAAACCGAGTTAGTCACTGCCTGCCATGTCCTGCGATTCAGCCGAATCCCTAAGTCATTCCTCCAAATCGAGTTAGTCACCGCACCCGCACTCACTGTACCTCGTCCCCATTAGCACTTTCGAAATTTACTTCCTATCCTGTTCAGGACAGGAAGTGGTCGCACCCAGTCCCCTAGCTGTCCCGATGAGGGGAAGTGCAGGGAGGTGAGTCCACTGCATTGTAGCTAAAGCCTGCCTTCCCCGGTCTTGGAACTGGGAGCCCATGGCAGGAGCTTGGCACCCCAACACACTGTCACTGCTGTCACTGGTGTGAAAAAGAATTTGCCTCTATCTCTCACAGACAGGACAGGGGCGCGGCAGGCAGGACTTCAGAGTGGAGTGAAGCTTGGACACTCTCTACTAGAAGGACCCTGGCCGAAGCCTTAGGCAGGTGAAGGAGGAAGCTGAGGCCTAGGTTGCAAGGCACCTGGGCATGGCCACACATGTGACTCAGACCCCTCCTCAAACCAAGGCCCCAACCCAGGGCCAGTGGGTGGTTCCCAGTAAGCCACGTGGCTGGAGCCCAGACCTGCCATCTCTCCCCGCCCAGCTCCGACTCGGCGCCCTCAGCTTGCTGAACTGCTTCCCTTAACACCCATAGGGCTGGGGTGGAGAGCCGGGCTCTGGTTCTAGGCTCTTCCCTGGGTCGGTGTGATGTGGTCAGACATCAGCCTTCTTTGGGCATCACGAGGCCTCAGCTGAAGGCGGGAAGAGCCCTGGAGAGCCCACCAGAGTCACACCCAAGGGAGAGATGCAGCCTCAGACTCCTCCCCATAAAGATGTGGTCATCAAGGCCTAGTGTCCGTGGGCAGAGCACTGCCCTCTCCCCTGCCCCATATCCCTATATCCTGAGCCTCAAAGCTCAGCCACTGCCCACCCTAAAGACTCCCACATCGGTCCGGGGCCCCTCGACACCTCCACGGCACTTCAGTAGCTCCTCCCCCACCATGCACACCAAGCACAGACACGCCCACGCTGAGCTCTGCACAACTGTACCCGCTTAGCCTCCCTTCACACACCGGCCACCCAATCCGGCATCTGTAAGTCACACTGCTCCTGTGTGTCCACTGTCCTCTCACTGGCAGTCCAGAAGCCGCCGGGGGGCAGGACTCCCAGCAACTCCTCTCCTGAGCCCTCCCTGAGGGCAGCGAGGACCAAGAACACGCTTTGCTCCAGGCACATAGTGTGCACTGACGCACTGTGAGCCTCTGGGGCCCTGCGCCTATACCGAACTAAGCAGGTGCGCGAGTGTGGACGTGAGCCAGCGTCTTGTGTCCAGCTGCCTGAGGGTGACTCCTTGTGCGTCCATGCCTGTGTGTCTCTCTGCACCCCTGGGCATCTCTATAGGAGTGACCATGATAACAACATCAGCTAACAGTTACTGCTGGACTTTAACACGCGCCCAGCTCTGCGCTGAACGATGCCCACGTGCATCTCTCAGTTCTCCAGCCACCACGCCACGTTCCCATTTGACAGACTAGGGAACAGGGGACAGAGGGGCGAATGCCTTGCTCAAGGTCCCCAGCTGGGTCAGTGATCGAGGCCACGTCTGAGAGCCCAGCCCTGTCTCACCCACGATGACGTATCTCCACGTGGACCTGGGAGCCATGTCTGAGGGCAAGCTCCATGTCCCTGTGTGCATGAGCTCGGTGGTTTCATGCCCCTCCAGCTCTTGAGCTCTGGAGCAGGGACTATCTGCCTACAGGGCACCCTGTGTCCTTGGTACTTGTTCCAGGAAAGGCTGGGGCTGCATTGAGTGTGGCCTGCACAGGCCCTTGGGGGAAACCCACCTTGGTCTGGATTGAGGATTTGGAAGAGTTCGGGGCAGCTGACCAGGACCATCTCGCCCACGTGGGCGGGCTTCCAGCACGTGATGTTGTCCCACATCCCGGGGCAGCCTGTGCGAGAGAGAGCACGGTGAGCAGTGAACAGCTCTCAGTGGGCTCATCACCTCAATGCCTCAACATGGTCCCTCTGGCCCAGTCTTTGCTTTTCACTCCGGCACAGTGGGTGCGGGGGAGTCAATGGGATGGGAGTTCACCAGGAAAAGGACACGAAGAGAGAAGAACATAGATGAGGAAGCCCTAAGGACCCCCTACTTACGGGGCGGACAGAGGAAGAACATGTAGCGATGTGATCATGACAGACAGGCAAAGGCAGAGAGGGTGGAGGGTCCAACAGCAGAGCAGTTTCTGGAAGGGTCCGCATCCTGCTGAGGAGTCTATAAACACCGGCTGTGGAGAGGGCTACTCTGCCACATAAGGGACAGCCAGCAGGTGACCGGCAGCGTCCCACTGCACGGGGCTGTGGTGAGGGTTAATGAGCTCACATGCGTCAAGCTCTCAGAAGAGCACGGGGCTCGCTCGGTGCCCGCTCCCTACTGTTATTATCAATAGTTTCGTAATTTCGGTTAGGTGTTCCCGGAAATCATTCCCTCGAGAGAGGCCTGGGCGGGGAGAGGAAACTAGAGCCCCAAAAGGTGAGAAGAAAGGCCAGCGGAGGGCTCGCGGCCAGGTCAGGGGAAGCCTGGGCAGGCGCTGGGCAGGGAACGGGCCGGGGGCAGGCCTTGTGAGCTCACGGCCTCTCTGCTGGGTCCATGACTGACGGTCGGGTGCTGTTTGGACCAGAAGTGATCTGTCTCTCAGAATTCAGACCTGGCTATTATGGAAGTCACACCCAGTCACAGTGGCCTACGACATTCTGCTCCCGAAACGACCGAGCCTGGGAGCCCAAAAGGCCGCAGGAATCTCTGAGCAAAGCAAACCAAGACGGTGAAGATGCTGCGGCCACACAGGGGGAGCGTGTCCCAGGTCTCACCGCGACAGCAGGACTCCAGCTGGCACATGGCTGCCTATGACATCACGTCCTTGAAAGGGCCCCAGCCGCATGCCTCTGGCTGGCTGCCAGGGCCTGTGCCGACCGTGGAGCGGCCGTGGATCCTGGCTGTGTCTAGCCCCCGTCCCGGGAGCCCAGTTAACAGACGTTCCCTTAACATGGAACGTCAGGCTCTGGCACGGCCAGCTGCCACTGCCAGCTGATGTTCCTGAGGTCCCAGGGCTCTTTAGATGGAGGTGAGCGGTCACGAGGGCCAGGGGTGGGGTGGCACCAGGGGACGGGGAAGGGGCTCCTGGGTGGAAGGTCAGAGGCGTGGGGCAGGGCGGGGATTCATTCTCCTCACAAGTATCTTCGGAGCCCCCAGCATGTGCCAGGGCCCGCCAGGCCAGGCCCAGCGACACAGTGGTGCAGAAAACACACGTGAGAAGTTTGTGTTTCGGGCAGAGGGAAGGAAGGGCCCGGATGTCCCTTCAGCCATGCATGGCAACCACAAGACTTGAGATTTGTCTGCTCTGGCAAGTCTCTACACCCTCCTCCCTGACTCAGTTTCCCTGTGTGCACACCGAGGGCTGAGCGTCCCTGAGGGTGCTCCTAACTCTGAGTGACCAGAGTCCAAAACAGAAACGGATGCACTCAGGACCCACGGCCGCCCAGAGGATGGCCAGGGAGGCTGCGGCTGCCTCCGCTGGCCGACTGCCAGGACAAGCATCTCCCAAGGGGCACCCACCTGCCGAAGTGCCCGCCACCCCACCCAGTGTGCTGCCACATTCTCAAAGCCCTCCTGGTGCCTCCCGAGGTTCCCAGCCTAGGTCCCCTCCCCAGACCAGAACCCGTAACTCCAGGACCCGATCTCTGCATCTGGGTTTCTATCACTGCGACAGTGGGATGGGATGGGAATTACGTCCCGGGTTCCTGACGCAGAGATCCTCAAACTGCTGGTATTTCCTGAGCGATGGGCTGAGAGGGGCATCTGTGGCCATGCATAAGCCCCTTTCAGCCACACCTCACCTAGGCTAATGAAGTGACTTTTCGAGGATGGGAGTGGGTCCCCAGAGGAACCAACCATGTGATTCGAGGGGTGGAATTTACAGCCCCATCCCTTAACCTCCAGGGAGAGGAGAGGGGCTAGAAATCGAGTTAATCACCGATGGCCAATGACTTAATCAATCATGTCTACATCATGGAACCCCTATGAAAACCCTAAATGTGGGGTTCAGAAGCTTCTGGGCTGGTGGAACACATCCACATGCCGGGAGGTGGTGCACCCCAACTCCACAGAGGCAGAAGCTCTCGCATGTGAGACCGTCCCAGGCCTCACCCCGTGAATATCCTCACCTGGCTGGTCATTCATATTATTTATAACTCTCTTTACAGTAAACAGTGAAGTGTATTTCCCTGTGTATTTTTCCTTGTGTTCTGTGAGCCCCTAGAGCAAATTACTGAACCAATTTGTAGCCACGGCAGACAGACGCGGGGGTAATCTGTGGACCCACAACTTGCAGTTGGCGTCTGAACTTGGGAAGGGGCAGTTTTAAGGGACAGAACCCTTAACTTGTGGGTTCTGTGCTAACTCCAGATAGTTTGCGTCAGAAGTGAATTAATTTGTAGGGACATCCAGTTGGTGTCTGCGGAAAATCGGAGAATTGCTTGGTGTGGAAAGCCCACACCTCTGATGTCAGAAATATGAGCAGAGAACCAGTTTTCCTTCGGGGTACAATGTTCCCGACCCCGTCAAGAGCTCTCAGTCCTCTAGCCTGCATCACTGGCGTCACAGGGGACTCAGGCGGCCTCCTCAGACCTTCCTGGGATGCTCCATTCATATTTCCTTCGCAGTTACTGCTTCCCGGCTTGACCCAGACGGAAAGAGATGCAGGCTCTATCTCCTCTCTCTGTCTTAGTGGAGCCTGTGCTGGTCTCGGGGACCAGCTATGTCTTCCCAGGGACCCTTTCCAGGGAGTTAAGAACAGGATTTGGGCTCCTGAGGGATCCTCGGGTTTTTCTCACTAAAGACAGCAACCCACCCTCCTTCCGCGCCCACAGAACATGTTCAGCTTCCCCATCCTCATCTGTTCTAGACTCCAGTCCCAACACAGCTTAGTTTTGTTGCGCCTGGAAGATTTCAAGATGCCTTTTTTTTTTCTCCTCCTCCTCTTCCTTTTACCCTTTTTTTTATTCTCACTTTCCCCTCCCCCTCCCCTTTATTCACTCATTTATTCAAGAAATATTAAGAGCCTATTATGAGTCAGACGCTGCAGAGCAATACAAGAGTGAATAAAAAACAGCATCGCTCTCTGCTTGCACAGAGCTTACAGTCTGGCAGCCGAGCGAAAGATTTCGGATTTTTTGCTCAGTGCTAGGAGAAGCCCTTGGATGGTGTGTTGCTTTCCTGCTGCTGCTGTAACAAAGCAAACTTAATGGCGCAACCTCTTATCTTACCGTTCTGGAGGTCAGAAGTCTGAAATGGGCCTCACTGAGCTAAAATCAAGGTATCTGCAGGGCCGCGTTTCTTCTGGAAGCTCCAGGGAAGAAACCGTTTCTTTTCTTTTCCAGATTCAAGAGATCAGATGCATTCCTTGCCTTGTGGCCCCTTTCTCCATCTTCAAAGCCAGTAGCCTGGCATCCTCAAGTTTTTCCCCGTCCCTGACCCTCCCGCCTCCTTCTTTCACTTATAAGGACCCTCGTGACTATTCTGTATATACCTGAAAAATCTAAGATACTCTCTCCATCTTAAAGCCCTTAATTCCACCTGCCAAGTCCCTTTTGCCATGGAAGGGAGCACATTCACAGGTTTGGGGGATTAGGACACGGGCGTGTTTGGTAGCAATATTATCCTGCCTCCCACAGATGGGTTTTCAGACAAGCAGTCACATGATCGGGTTCAGCAATGTGGGAAGGTGACATTTCAGGAGCAGGAAAGCAAACGTCTGGATGTGTTTGTCAGGCTATGGCCGTGGTCTGGGAAGGACGGCAGACTCCACGTGGAGACGCGGCAGTCAAGATGCAAAGGAGTTCTGTGTAGGAGAGTCCAGAGGAAGGACTGACGAGGCTTGGGGACAGACTGGCTGGACATGGCCGGTGCGTGTGGCAGTGCTTCTCCCTCTCGCTGGGTTCTCACCAACGCTCAGTGGGTGGAAATGATGAACGAACTGGTCTCAAAGACATTCCCGGAAGCCTCCACACCCTTTCTCTCTCTCTCTCCTCTCTGCGGCATGCTCAGAGGCCACATGTTGAGGGTGGCACAGATGAAAGGGACCTGGATCTCTGAGTGGCCATGTAGGGTCAGGCTCCACCTTCCATCTCTGCTGACCACACTGGCCTGAGACATGTGCGAACGTTAAATGGTACCGTGCTAAGTCTCTGAGACGTGAAGGCTTATTTGTTACTGCAGCACAGTCTAGGCTACCTGACTAATGCCGTGAAGCAGGATGGCACCTGGGTTTCTGGCCTGAGTGTCTGGGTGGAGGAGCCGTTCACCACGGTGAGGAGGACTGAGATGAGTTAAGGAGCAAACGGTGGGGGGAATTAGGCAAGCTGGAACTCAAGAGTTTAGTCTGGGATATATTTAGCTTGAGATGGTGCAAAGAGCCAAGTGGAGCTAGATTTCAAACACGCAGTTAGGGAGAATTCCGGAGTCCAGAGGGGAAGTCAGAGCTGGGCAAAGAGAATGGGGAGCGGCCAGCACAGGGATGCCACGTAGGGCCATGGACTTGGATGCTATGTCTAGTCAAAAAGCGTAGATTTAAGAAGAGAAGAGAAGAGAAGGGGGCCTGGCCCCAACAGAAGAAGAAATACCAACATCAGAAGAGGAGCTGGCAGAGAAGACCGAGGAGGGGTGGCCAGAAACACGAGGAAGCCCGGGGAAGGTCAGTGACTCAGCCGCCAGGAACACATGGTTCAAGGGGCAGACGGTCAAGTGCATCAGACACTGTCGAGAGGCTGGAAAAGTTCCCCTCCGCTTCCTCCCCCTGCAGAGGAGGTCGGAAATGTCTGGGAGAACTCTCTGCTTGGACATCTCCAAAGCTTCCCTATTCATCTCTCCTGTTCTACCCCAATTTACACTAAGTCCTGTGCCCCCTGGCTCAGCCTGTCCCACTGAAAGCCTCTGTGGAACATGGTCACAGGAGTTCAGGCATCGGGGGATTCCTGTTTGCGGGGAGAATGCTGTGCCCACTCTCCGAGGCTGCTCCCACTAAGACAGCCAAGGACAGGCAGCACCTGGCAACAACAGGAGGGACAAGGACCACCGGGCAGGCTGGACAGGAGGGAGAAGGAAAGAGCCATTAGCCTCGACTGGAACAAAATAGGGACCTAATCTCAGGTTGTCATGGAGATGATTTTGTCCAGTTCCACACAGTGTTCAAAATCCGTGAGACCAGGGACACTACAGGTACTCAGACAAAGGCATAGCTTCCCTTTGAGAAGCCGCGCAAGGATGCTTGGGTGTTGTTAGAACGGGCGCCTCATTTTAGTATACAAGTCAGGGGTAAAAAAAGGTTCGATCTACTGAAATTCACTTTACAGCTAATGTTTCTGATCTGTGAAATGAGAAGATCTGCGAGGTCGATGTGCTGGGGGCGGGGGGTGGGCTACAGAGGCAGCGCTCCCCTCGGAGGTCAGTGGTCCTCCCGTGCGGACCCCAGACCAGGTACACACGCCACTGGGAACTTGCCAGAAACGCAGAAGCCCGGGGCCCATCCAGACCCAGAGAGTCAGAAACTCGGGGGCTGGGCCCAGGAGTCTGTGTTAATCGGACCTTCTGGGAGGGTCCGATCGATGCAGGCTCAGGTCAGAGGTGAGGAGGAGTGCCACAGAGCGAGGGTGAGGGTGCCCGCACACCCCACCCCTTCCCCACGCTGGGTGCTGCTTCAGTCTCGGAGCAGCTAGGAGGCACGGACCGGAAGCCGACCTTGCTCTAAGGACGCGGAGTGGAGCCCAGCCGTGGAGAGCCTCCCCTCTTCCGGGCCTCTTCGCCTTTGGAGTGGGGTGGGGCTGGACGAGGCACTGTGCACCCTGGACAGGCCCCAGAGGCTGGGTCAAGCCTGCTTCCTCCTGCTCCCGCCAAGGCCACTGCAGGCCTCCCTCTCCCATCTTCTCCAGAGTCTGGGGGAACCCCAAAGAGAACCACACCCGACCAGCCCTGCTTAAATGCAGGGAAGGCCTCCAGGCTGACGGAAGCCTGCAGCCCTGCAAAGAGGAGGTGCTGGCCGGACTTGTCCTGGGAGGCAGGCTGAGCAGACAGAACAAAGCAGCCAGCTCAGCAGGCGGTGCCTGCGACCTGCGTGGGTTTGGGGACCTCAGGAGCGGAGGCTCAGGTTCCCACGCAGAGGAGTCCTTTTTCCTTCTGTCTGGCACCGGAGCCTGCAGCACAAAGGGCACCCCCCGCCGGGGCGGCAGACCTGGGCCCTGTCCCAGAGCTGGCTCGGCCCTCTGTGTGATTTGGCTAGTGACTGCAGCCTCTCTGTGTGTCACATGACAGAGCTGGACTCAGTGTTGTCTCAAGTCCCATTTAGCATTCAGGGGTTTGGAATGAGGGACAAAACCACTAAATATTTCTCCTCAATAACGGTCTGAAGAAACATCTTTAAAACCTCCCAAGGATTCTGCAGACAAATCGACCTGGTCAGGAGGCCTGCTTCCACCCCCCATTACCTCATCCATATTGCCTGCCCCCCTCACCTGCTTAGCTCCTGTGCCTCTGTCCCTTGGCTTCTACTCTGAAGGCCACTAAACACATTACCATGTGACGTTCTCAGGACCAGCGAGGGACAAGGGTTTGATGGGTGCAGGTGCCTTCCTTGGAGCCTGCCACTGTCCCTCCGACCATACACACAGTGCCAGGGGCACACCTCACCTCTAACAGCTCAGGAGTGTTGGGTTTAAAGGATCATGGGGAGATATACAAAATACGTATAAACACATTAAAAATATATAAAAGCAATGCTGGGAATTCAAACTCACAGTCACCAGCACAAATTTTCTTTTTTCGTTTGCAACTGTGTTTCAGGGACATTGGCTCACCTATAGTTGGTTAGCATTCTGTGCACAGTGCATGTGCCTGGGGACAGAGAAGGGGTACAGCAGGAGGGCTGGCCTCTCTCAAGTCACCCCAAGCACAGATTAATCATCCAACACACAGCTGTTGATTCTTTGCTACACTCTGACTCTGGGCCCCCTGCCTGGCTTACCTGCACCCCGTGGGCCACCCTCTGGCCTGAGATGGCATGAGCACTTCGGGGGAGGCTCTCCTCTGGACGAATCAGTGGTTCTCAAATTTGGACACGCTTTAGAATCATCCGGAGGCTTTTAACACATGCCTTCAACAAGCCCCCCGCCCCAGCGCTGATCACGCGGGTCTGGGACGGGCATCTTAAATGTTCCCCAGAGTTCTCGTGTGCCACACAGCACAGCGACAGGGATCACCGTCCATACTGCATGAACAGGTTTACTCTGAACTCAAGGATGCTCCAGGACCAGGCCTAAGGCTTCCCTCAGGCCCTAGCAAACCCTCCCCTGGCAGCTGACAGCACAGTCAACATCCCCCCAGAACTTCAGCACCGGGAAGGTACTCGGAGGCCACCTGTTCTGAAGTCCCCTTGAGAAGGTGCTCCTCCAACCTCCGCGTGCCGGCAAAGCCCCTGCAAGACCACAGGCCTGAAGCGAGCGGAGCTGGACACTCCTTGGAGCCCGCCACTGTCCCCTCTAACCGCTTCGTCCTCTTCCAGCCCAGGGCTCCGCAAAGCGCTGTGCCATTCACCCCACCTCCCAGCTCTACCGCTCCCTCCTGGATGCTTCTTATTGCTTAACCCCAAATGCAGCTGCGACCTGAGATGCAGGAGGCAGGACACCTGGGTTCCAGGCCCACCTCGAGGCTCCACCTTCCCATCCCCTAGACCAGCTCCTTGGACCAGATGTTTTTCTGGCCTCCAGCAACTGGGCGCCCATCTGGACTGCCTGCCTTGGTTTCCCCAGCTGCTGGGGCCTAGAATCCACTTGCAGCCTCAGTCAGGGCTGAGCCGGAGCTCATCTGGAGGCAAAGGCCAGCATGGCTGGGAGCAGCTCCATTACCAGTTAATGTTTGCCGACTGGCCGGGGAGCTCAGCCCGGAGGGACCGTTACACATAACTGGGCTGCAGATTAATCACGTATTTAAACAGATGGTGCTCAGAAAGAGCTCCCTGTAACCGGGGAGGAAAAGCGGATCCCTCCGATGTGGGCAGAGAGCCCCACTCGGCCACTCCGAGGCACAAGTGAGGCTGGCGAGGCCTCCAGTGAGGCCCCCACTCCTGAATCCCATCTCCCCACGTGCACCCTCTCCCTGGCCCCGCTGGGAGTCTGGGAGCCAAGGGCGCCTCCGGGTCCCACAGCGAGAGAGTTGGGAGAAGGGCTCTCAGCTGGAGGCCATGCCACTCCCTTGGGACCTTTGGAAATGTCGTGAGACATTCTGGGTTGTCACGCGCATCTAACAAGAAGCCTTGGGCTGCTGAATGTCCTGCGGGGTGAGGCCCACTCCGGCACGAGAAGCCAGCAGCCCTCTCCGTGCTGACAGCGCTCCCTGGAGAAGCACTGCAGCGGACAGGTTAGGACGGGGGTTCCCGCTGCCGCCTCGTTCTCTGGCTTCTGACAAGTGAGCAGACCGACGAGGTGGGAAAGGACCCCACACCTCCCGCCTTGGGTTGACCAGGTGCTCGCCAGCTCGCGCACCTGCAGCAGCTGTGCCCCTGGTGCCACAAGGCCTAGGCTGCCTGCTAAGGAGCTCTCTGGCAGCCACGGCCCAGCCCAAACACCAGAACCCGTGGGATCGAAGGCGGCCACCTCCATCCACCCAGAACAGCCCCTTCCAGAGAGAGCAGGCCGTCCCCAAAGAGGGGCGACCCCAGCGCCACTGTCCAGGGCAGATCCAGAATGCCATGGCCCCAAAGGCTTTCTGAAGCATCCAGGGACTGGTACCCTCTGCCATTCTCTATGAGGTAGCTGGAGGTTGGGACAGCAGTCCTGAAGGCCGGCCTGGATATGCTAGGGACGCCTTATCCGCCCCGCCCGCCGCCCTGCTCACCTGGGGAGGAGTCATTCAAGCCCATCAGGTCGTTCGCCCTCTGGATCTTCTCCAGACACATGGCTTCCTCCTTCCTGAAGATGCAGTCCGAGTGCATGGCGGTGGTCTGCGGGGACACGTGGGTTGGATGTGGGAGAGAGCAGAGGGAGGTTCACGTACAAGCGCTGCTCCCTAGGCCCCAGGGGAAGTTGGGGGGTGGGGTCAGGAGCAGGAAGCAGGTAGTGACAGAGACTTCGGGGCCAGCAGGGGCCCTCACCTCCACTCTGTCTTAGATCCCACGTCTTCTCCACCAACTCAGCGTCAGCCTTTGGGAGGACCCACCCCCTCCCCGGGTCTCAGTTTCTATGTCTTGTCATAATAGCAGCAAACACATCTCCAGCACTTTACTATGTGCGTGCATTATTGTTACGGATATGTATATACCTGTATATATGTACGTATTTCAATAGTATTGCAAAGTACGTACTATTTTTACCATTTCTCACTTTACAGATGTGAAACTTAAGCACAGAGCTGTTAAGTAACTTGCTCAAAGTCACACAGCTTCATAGATTGTACAGCCAGGATGCGACCCCAGGCAGTCCGGCTCTAGAGACCACGAGGCTACTACCGCACATTAGGGGAGCTGGCAGAGGGTGAGAGAGCGGAGGGGCAGAGGAGTTCAGTCTCTCTCTCCTCTGGGGGCTCCTGGAGGAGGTGCACCGCCAGGAGCTGGGGGCAAAGGCGCAGCAGCGGCATTCAGTGGGCCTACCTACCAGCCACTCTCGTTTACTCTCGCCCACTCGACAAAGGCAGAAACTGAGGCTCAGAGAAGGTAAGAAGCTCTCGCCCGAGCTCCCACAGCTCGTTAGTGGATTCAAGCGCAGGACCCAGGGACTTCAAAGCCCACAAATTGCTATCGTGACAGTCATGTCTCAGTGCTGTCACTAACTCAAAGCTCCAGGTCAGGAATGGTTCCGTAAGGGATGTCAGCAATGGAGGCAGGCACCAGGCATCCGAGCGGCCAAGGGCGGTGTTCAGGGCTCCCGTCTAGCCCCGACTGCTCACAGATGTGCGGGCGGCTTCCAGGGACGGGCCTCTCTGTGGTCACACAGTGATGCGGGGCAGAGGCAGGACTCCCATCCAGGGCTCTGAAGACAGCTGTGTCCAGCGCCAGGCTGTATTCCCAGCCTGAGGGGCTGGGGCCAACCCGGGGAACCCACCCTACCCCATTGCTCTAGAAGAGACATGAGCAGAGAACAGGCTCCTGAGCTCGAATCTGGCAGAGACTTGGGGGCTAGGAATGGGATCAAAAGAGCCTCTGCAGCCCTGACCAGGGACCCTACATCCAGTTGAGCAGGTCGTGTACTGCACAACGCTAAAGACTGTCACGCATGTCCCCATCGCAATAGATTTGTGAACTGTGTAACAATTTCTGGTCAAATCAGCAGATGGTTTGGAGAAGGGGCATCTTTTCTAATTCAATGGTGCTGGATGGTCCAGTGAGGGTACTGGCTTGGCTGAGGGAACCCAAAAGACACCGGTTCTTTGGGATGGGGGCTCAGGTGAGCCTGGGGCTCCAGCTGGTCATGAAGTGGAGGCTCCTGGGTCCTTACCATAGGCAGCAGGAGGAGAGCAGCCAGGGAGGCCCGCACGATGCTGGCCATGATGCTTCTCACCCAGAAGGAGGCTCAAGCCAGCACTTCCTGTCTCTGACTCGGAGCAGCCGCTGGTCAGCCCCAAGGTGTCTAGGGGCTAGAAAGAAAGGCAAGGCATGAATCCTGTGGGCAGTGTCAGAGTTGGGGCAGGGATACACTGCCCTTCCTCCTGACCCCTCCCCTACCTGCAGCAAGGCTCTCAGCCTCCACGGGGAACCCCCCCAAGCCTTCATTCAGGCCATTCTTGATTCTCCTGTCCCACAAACATCTGCTAAGCACCCCCTCAGTGCTGGGCACAGGGCATACGGCGGGGAGCGTGCCGGCTCAGGCCGCTGTCTACTGGCATGGCCCAGAGGGCTTTCTCCTCTGCGGTAGATGACTCACTCTGTCCCCAAAGCTCCCTCCACAGTGACAGAGTTTTAGCTGTCACATCTATGTCTGCCTGGAGAGGGCATTTCCCAGTCCCTCCTGCTCTCAGGTGAGGGCATGTGATGAAGTTCCCACGTATAGAATGAGGGTGACAGAAACATGTCACCCTCACCATTTGCCCGTAAAGCACTTCTGCGCCTTCGGCCTTCCCAGACGCCTGACCCACCCCAGCTTCAACGGTGCAGCCGGAAGAACGCCTGAGAGGCGGGAAGCAACACTCCGAAAGAACCCAGAGTGATCAAGTGGAGCTGGGCCACTCCACCAGCTCCAGGCCGCTCCGTGAGGAAGAACCACGCTGCCAGCTTGCATGCTCACAGAGGGACGCCTTGTTCCCGCCGCCGAGCCTGGTGCCCGAACAAACACGGCCTCCCCTCACCCGGACTCAGCCCGCTTGGCCTCCAGGATAAAGCCTCTACCTCTGCCACATACGGAGTGACTGCTGAAGAGTGTGCTCGGCTCAGAGCTGCAGGAGCTCCAAGAGCGGCAGTCCGTGAGGACTGGGGCCACTACGGGGGATGACGAGGTTCGGGGAGTTGAGTGAGGGGAACGTGGTAGCACATTCCCAGGGGAAGAATCTGGGCTGCTTCTAAAACCGATCATTAACGAACATCTCCTTCACGCCCCCGACTCCACATCTGGGTCTCTATCCTAGAGAAACGTTTGCACTTGTACAAAAAGAAGCATATGTAAGGATATTCACTGCGGCATCGTTTAAAATGGCAGCAACAGCAAAAAACGGGGCAACAAAGCACGCGTCAAGCAGGCACTGTTAACAGGCCCTGCCTAGCCGTTCAATGGAATACTACACAGTAATTTAAAATTTATTTTTATTACTATGAAGTTATTAAAAAGATTGAGTAGGCCTGTGTCAGGGCCACCACTTACCCCCAGGTGCCTGGTTCAGGAAGCCCAGCGGGGCTGCGGCCTGACCATTAGTCCTTACACACCCCCCACTAGTGGGCAGAGCTGCCGTCACCCTAGGGCCTTTGTGCCCTGGCTCTCTACCCGCCCACGCATCCCTCCCTCTCTCTCTCCTCACCTCTCCAAGCTGCCCTCTCTAAGCTCAACTGGGTGACAATCGAGCACCCAAAAAGGTGACAGAAAACCAGCCACAAGAAGGTTCTATGAAAGGAGCCCTATCTTCCCCCCCGCTGCCCCGTCTGCTCAGGGCCCGCTCAGAGATGCTCTGGGATGTGCCCTGTGAAGTCCAGGAGGCCGTGCGGATGCTGGCCCCGCCTCTCCCCGGCAGCTCAGGAAGGACTGTGCAGGATGGGGAAGCACTGGCCCCAGCACCCCTAGGCACCCGAGGCACTGGCTCTGCAGCACACTCAAGTTTCAGTCTCCGCACACACCCCCAGGGCCCTCCACACCCCCGGTGGTCACGGGCTGCCACTGGCATGACCCAGCACTGGTGGTCCCCAGGGGGCTCAGTCCCATCCACTCTCCCTGGGGAGCCCAAGGTCCTGTCTGACCTGCCTGGCCCACCCGTCAGATGCTAGAGGCCACGTCTCTCAGAGGGCTGAGAGAAGCCCCCACAAAGCAGAAGGCCTCTGAGATCTGGAGCTGACTCTCCCGCACTTGGGACAACATCAGGCTAAAGGCAGCTGAGGTGTGAAGTCAGGAAGGCCTCCACCCAGTGCAGTGCTGGGGGCCTCCAGCACTCCCATCGGCCCCTCCGGCAAGGGTGCCAGCAGCCTCGGCCAGCAGCCTGGGCCCGCGTTCTGGTCCACAATCCAGAGCCTTTGTTTCCACGGGTCAGCTTTCTCAGCAGAGGAAGGTGACTCCTCGGACTGCCTCATGGCTAGCCGGGCCCAAACAAGAGCCAGAGGAGGGAAATGGCCTATGTCACCAAGTGGACACACAGTGCCCCTTAAAGACCATCTCATTTGTACTCCCAGCAAGGTGCCACCAGAAACATCAGCCAGCTGCTGCCTCCAGCTCTTGAGGGTCACCTCTGCCTTGGGGCACAGGGAAATCTTCCAGGAGGAGGAGGAGGAGGAACACTCGGATGAAATCAGAGCTCCCTGCTCTCAGCAACAGCAGTACGCCCTCCTTCAGGACGGGGGTCCCCCAAATGGAGACTCACTGCCTCATCCCCCTGCCCTGCTGGCCCAGCACTCAATGTTGGGGGCGCATGAGACCACTGAGGAGCACCTAAAATCACCCCTGCCCGACTGAGTTGGCCCTCTGGGGATGGTGCCTGGACATCGGTGTTGTTTAAAGCTCTCCAGGTAACTCTCATGTAATGTGGGATCATAACCTTTATGAGAACCAAGAGAGCTGGCCGCGAGGGCTAGTGGCCTCCACGGCTGGGGCTGCAGTAGAGGTCAAGTGGGTGGCAGTGAG